CCCAGAGCAGGACATGATGCGAGGGTTTGGCCGGGACAGGGCGGCAGTGGGGCTGTCTGTCAGCCCTGCTCTGCCAGAGAGAGGGGAGGGCCGGCAGGACAAAAGGCGACATTATTCGGTGCTGCAGGAGGGATGAATGGAGTATTGAGACACACCACCTTCGAGAGTAGATTGGTTTTCATCCCCCATCACTGAGCCATCTGTCTGCTGGCAGATCTCCTCCCAAGGCTTGGTCAGCAGGAGCTGAGTGGGGAGAGCCGGGAGGTGTAACAGGGCTGTATCCCATCCATGGTGGCTCCATCCTGCACCTCCAGTGCTGTGCTACCATCATCTCTTGCTGGTGAACACAAAAAGCTTTGGTCTACCATCATTTCTTGCTGGTGAACACAAAAAGCTTTGGTCTACCATCATTTCTTGCTGGTGAACACAAAAAGCTTTGGTCTACCATCATTTCTTGCTGGTGAACACAAAAAGCTTTGGTCTACCACCATCTCTTGCTGGTGAACACAAAACCCCTTGGTCTACCATCATCTCTTGCTGGTGAACACAAAAAGCTTTGTTCTACCACCATCTCTTGCTGGTGAACAGAAAAAGCTTTGGTCTACCATCACCTCTCACTGGTACACACAAAAGCCTTGTTCTACCACCATCTCTTGCTGATGCATGCAAAAAGCCTTAGACTGCCATCATTTCTCACTGATGTACACTGAAAGCCTTGGTCTACCATCATCTCTTACTGGTGCACACAAAAACTTTTGGTTGACTATCATCTCTTGCTGGTGCAGGCAACAAAGTCAAAGGCTTGTTCTGGAGGCTTGGGAGCCCACCCAACCTGTGATCTTGAGGGATCATGACTGGGTGGACATGGCATCAGGACATGGTCCCATCTGGGAGCTCTTCCCACCCCATGTGTCCACATCAGATAACCAGGAGCAGCAAAAGGCTGGATGAGGGATCTCCACAGAGAGGGTCACCGATACGGTGGATTTCAACACCCTTTCCCAAGTTTCTGCCCATCAGTAGATGCCTCAAGCAGCAGCAGTCAGTGCCCATCCCTCAGGAGATGTTGTGACTCGTAAAAAAAAAGGAGAGACTAATTTTAGGGCTGCGCTTAGCTGAGATTTCCAGCCTGGCTGTAGAGCCAGCGTGTGAAAAGCCTCCTCACGATGGCACTCCTCCACCAGCGCACGCTGCCGTCCCAGTGCTGCTGTCAGGCTGGCTGCTGGGATTGCTGGGACATGGGTCTGGGTTCCTGGAGGTGTAAGGGAGAGCAGGACCAGCCCACATCCCACTGCCCAGCAAGGTGTGAGTGGAACAGAGCTAGAAATCCACCGCAGTCACTGCTGAAGGGAGCAGTCAGCGAAAGGGAGATGGCATCTTGCGATATTTAATCTCTCCCTCATTTTCTGCCTGACATTCCCATTTGTTTTCCATCTTGTCCCAGTGGAATTTGCATCTTCATCCCCCAGGTGAACGAGGTTGTCCTATCAGACCATAGAAATATCTGACTTCCCACAGAAATGCCTTTCCCTGCTTTTTCCCATGAGATGATGAAGAGTGGAGACAATGGGAGCCTCTGGGTAGAGCCCCAAACAAGACGGGGTGGTCTCATGGTGGGGGACATGGGTGGCCAGGGATAAGAGCTGCCCAGGAGAGCTTTTAGGATAATTAATTCATCATGGGGTGATGAAGAAAGATGGGTGCAAGGCATCAGACAGGGTGTTATGGTAGCTCAAGTGCTGTATATGATCATGTGCTGCCTGGTGGGACCCTATGGGGACCTCAGTGCATGGGGAAGGGTCCCTGGGAGCGGGGAGGCTGTGTCACCCACAGAGCAGACCCCCTCTTCATGCAGGAGGAGGTGGGTATGGTCTCCAGGAGCCCACTGGAGGAGAGCACCGGAGGGAGAGGTGTATATGGTACATATGTTCTGTGGGGTTTGCTTGTAACCTCCTGTAGAAGTAACAGAAGGATGAACTCCACATGGGTGCAAACAGGATGGTTCCCTGAACGTCTTGGGGGCTGAAGACTCTGGATGAGAGCTCTGAGGCTCAGCATTCAAGTGTCCTGGTGGGTCTGAGGTCCATCCTTCTGCCTGTACAGCAGCCCAGCCCTGAGGATCTTGCTGCTTCCAGTTTTGTCTCGTGGGTGGGATGTGGCCCTGCAGCTTCATCTTGCCCCTCAAAAAAATATCTCTTGTTCTCAATAAATCCAACCCAAATTATTTTTCATGTGACTCTTGGTCACTGCTCCAGCAAGTGCCAAGGAGGGACTTGTTTGCAGGTCCTGCATGGCTCTTGGTGGGGCAAAGGTTCTTCTGGCCAACACCATTAACACCGCTGTCTGCAGGTTTCAGGGACAACTTCCTCTGGACACCCATCTGTGGGAGGACCACGGTGCAGCAATGAGAATTGGTCCCTGTCTGGCCAGCCGGCACGGCGTGGGGAGGCTGGACATCGGGGTGCTGCCTCTCTCCTTGACACCAGCTGTGCTCCTCCTCCTCCTCCTCAGCACCACTGGTGAGCTTCTGCGTGGTGTGGTGGGATGGGTTAATTTTAGGCACCTATGGTCTCCCTTCTGCTCTCAGATTTGTGGGCAGGAGATTTTCTTCATGGAGAGCCATGAGCAGGAATATCACAATGTCCCCAATGGCGTTGAACCTGCACAGGGATGGAGGGAGCAAGTTCAGCTCTTCTCTTCCACCATGACCTTCCAGATCCTGACGGGGCTCCAGGAAGGCTGGGGAGGGATTTTTGATAAGGGCAGGGGAGTGACAGAACAAGGAGTGATGGCTTGAAACTGGATGAGAGTAGATTTAGATGAGATATTGGGAAGAAATTCTTTCCCTGTGAGGGTGGTGAGACACTGGCCCAGGTTGCCCAGAGAAGCTGTGGCTGCTCCTCCCCGGGAGTGTTCAAGGCCAGGTTGGATGAGGCTTTGAGCAACCTGGTCTAGTGGAAGGTGTCCCTGCTGCTGGCAGGGTGGTTGGAACTGGATGAGCTTTAAGGTCCCTTCCAACCCAAAACCATTCTATGATTCATTCCATGATCTATGCTCGATGGCAAGTTCAGCGCTCAGACCAGCAATGGGGACAGCACGGGTCTGAGCTCCAGAGCAGCAGCGGCGCTGGGAGGATGCTGATGGCCAAGGGACAAGAGCTGTGGGACCTATCCTGCCAAGGCAAAGGGTGGGATAAGCACCTATCCCTGATGTCACTGGTCCCCAGTCACTCCAGCCAGGCTAGGAAGTATTTAAACCAAACTGGAAGAAGCCATTCCCGCTCTCCAACCAGGATCTGCAGAGTGTTGCGGCAGCGTAATTATCCTGGTGTGACTTTATCAGTGTCATTACAGCCAGGGGGTTGGTGACACCTTCCTGCCTCAACAAAGCCCCACAAGACAAAGGCAGCCAGAAAGCGGGCAATCAAGGTGTAGTCAGACACCATAATTGGATTAAATCAGGTTTTACAGTTCCCACCTCCTCAGCTGGAGCTTTCCATCTCTCCAAGTGCCTCCACCCACAGTCGGGGGGACCTTGGTGGCTTGGAGACATTGTCTCCTGCACTGCCAGGCTCTCTTCATTAATAGGCACGGCTAAGTTGCTAACGAAGAGCGATTTGCCCTCCCATGTGGTGGTTTTATTTAGAACCGTGCCCTGGAAGGGCTGATGTTCACTCTGAGCTGGTTCCCCTTTTCTTTTGGCTTTGTGAAGCTGGATCAGAGGAATGTGGAGGGGTCTCTCTGCTCCAAACCTGCTGTTTTTCTCCCGTTCCTCATTAACGTAGACATCCCGGGCATGTTTTGTCAGGTCTCTCTTGACTTTGCTGGAGGATGCTCTCGAATGAATACTTCAGAGCTTTGATTTTGACTTAAAGGGAGATGAACATTGAATATTTAACAATGTCCTTTTCATCCACTGCTTTTTTCAGCACTGGAGTGGACTAGGTGTTAAAAATCAATACAAACCAGGATCAAAAGCTCTTCCTGAAAAGCCTCACATCTCCACATTTTTGGTGCAGAGGTGATGTGAATTACCTCTCCTGTTATCCAGCCCATGGGGCTGTGTGTCCTTCCCTGTCCTCTCTCAGCAAGCCAGCCTCTCTGCTCCCTTGGTCTCGCCCAGTTCTTGCTGACTTTGCAACATCATTTTCCGGCCTTCCTGAGTCCAGCTGCGGTGGCTGGAGAGGGACCAGTGCCCAACCATGGCTGGAGCTTCCCAACCACAGCTGGAGCTCCTCAACCACATCTGGAGCTCCCCAATTATGGCTGAAGCTCCTCGACCACAGCTGGAGCTCCCTGACCATGGCTGAACCTCCCTGACTGCACCCAGACCTCCTCAACCACATCTGGAGCTCCCCAATTATGGCTGAAGCTCCTCGACCACAGCTGGAGCTCCCTGACCATGGCTGAACCTCCCTGACTGCACCCAGACCTCCTCAACCACATCTGGAGCTCCCCAGTTATGACTGGAGCTCCTCGACCATGGCTGGAGCTCCCTGACCATGGCTGGGCCTCCCTGACTGCACCCAGAGCTCCTCAACCAGAGCTGGAGCTCCCCAATCATGGCTGGAGCTCTTTGACCATGGCTGGAGCTCCCCAATCACAGCTGGAGCTCCCCATTGCTGTTGTTCATCCCAGCTATGGGTGGTATCTCACTCTTAGCCTCTGCTCCTGGGTGCTAAGTGACAGTTACAGCCAGACAGTTGCTTTAGTCTCATTTTTCTTGGGGCTTCTGGGTCTTTCCTTGACCTAAGTGAAGGAAAAAGTCAGACCAGTTTTGCAGGTGACTTAATGGTCTCCCAGGCCACATCGTAGCAAGGCAGAAGGGAGATGACTTCATCTGCTCCACCATCCCCTCCAGGCTCACGCTGCTTCTCACGACAGTGACATCCACCTCCAGAGTGGCAGGAATTGACCTTCATGTCATTGCTCGTAGGCTGAGCATGAAGCAGGACAGGGCTGGCCCAAGCCAGGGGTAGGAAAAGAGGCCACAGAGCCACCATGGGCATTGATGAGCCCCTGGGTGCTGTAATTAGCGTGAAGGGATTTCACTTGCTTGGTAGGTGTCACCTGCAGGAGAGGGTTGTGCAGCTGGAACCTCAAGCCCAAGGTGCCCTGGATAACTGAGGAGATCTGCAATGATGTCCCAGGTGTTTATTTTCTCTCCTACAAACCTCGAGTCCTTGCAGAAAAGGGGAGGGTCTGGGTCCTGCAGTGCCCACCCACATCCCTGCTGCCACCACCCCCTGAGCTGCACCCCCCTCCCCTGCTCGCGGCCAGGACACTGGGGTGATCTGATCCATTTTCTTCTCCCTTGCAGGCAACACCTCTGAGCCCGAGCTGGTGCCATTCCCAGGTGAGATTCTTCTTTCAAAGTCACTTTTCTCTTGGAAGTTTTGTAGTTGAAAAATGCAATTTTTGGTTAAAAATGAGGTTTGGAGAATTTTAAAAAAAAGCAGCACATTGGTTTTGAACAAAAAGCGGCGACAAAAAGCTGAATGTCCTTTCCAGAAAGGAACCAGAGATGCTTTATTATCCCTGTTCCTCATATTATCCCCAGAGGGGAATGTTGCCACCTCCTGCTGAGTCCCTGTCCCTGTGCCACTCCTCACACCCCAGCCAATAATTCCCCTGGCGTGGCAGGCCAGGAACGCTTACACACCCGTTCCCCACCACCAGCAGCCTGAGAGATCATCTCCATCCCATCAACTCCCACATGGAACCAGCGCTAGTTGTATCCATTGAGGCCCAAGAAGATCTTGCTAATGGCATCTTGTCACTTGTCACCCATCATATGTCATCATGTGATGCCACGTGCCCGCTTTCCTCTTCTTCCGTTGGGTTATTGCCCAGGCCATTCGTAGGCAAGATGATGGGATGATGGTGCATCTCATTTATGTATTGAGATGCGTTGAGTCTTCATGTCGACTGCTTCCAGCAGCTGAAGAGAAGCTCATGTCCCACTATCAGGTGTGTAGCACCAAGCCAACAGCTGCCTTGTGCTACAGCAAAGGGTCACCATTTTAGTCAAGGAGCAGAGGTTTGGTGCAGAGAGGGCTCACACCCTCCCCGTGATGCCCATTGAGTGTTTGTCACCTCCTGACCCTGGGATGGGCTTGTTGCCTACTGAGTGTCCTCCCTCTACCCATCCTTCCAGAGATACGGCTTGCCAACGGCCCCAGCCGGTGCCAGGGGCGAGTGGAGATCCTTTACAACGGCTCCTGGGGGACGGTCTGTGATGATGACTGGGACATTGTGGATGCCAACGTGGTGTGTCGCCAGCTGGGCTGTGGCCACGCCATCACCCTCCCGGCTGCCATGACCTTCGGCCAAGGGAGTGGACCCATCTTCCTGGACAACGTGGACTGCAAGGGCCGGGAGGCAGCCTTGAGCGAGTGCTGGAGCCATGGCTGGGGCATCCACAACTGCTACCACTATGAGGATGTGGCTGTCATCTGCAACGGTAATGAGGCTGAGTTCCTTGGGGACAAGGACAACAGGGGGGTTCCTGCAAGCCCTTTTGTCTGCAGACGCCTTGGAGAAGCCCCAGAGTTGCATCTCAGATCCTGTTCCTTTGCCCCTGGGTCAGCCAAACCTCCTCTGCAGCCTTCCTCCACCTCTTTCTTCCACCCAGGTCATGTCCCAGCTCAGCATGCTGGTGTTCCATAGGGTGACCAGCCTGGTTTGTGTTCCCCATCACTTCCAGATCGACTTTGCAACCTCTCCAGCACGATCCCTGGAGAAGGAGCACAAACCCACCCACACTCCTGCCTCTGAGTCAGCTGCTCTTTCTCCTTTTGACTTGCCTTTCTTCAAATTGCTGAGCTTTGCAGCAGGAAATGTTCCTCAAGGTGAGAAAAGCAGTGGAAATTTGGCAAGTGAAAGTGGAACGGCTCCATGACCACCCCATATAACCTACATGTTCCTGTTGCAAAGCTACGTAGGGTTTGTTCATCAGCCATGGCCACCAAAGACCAGTTAATGTGAGGCCGTGAAGATCCAGAGCTCGGCCATGGCTGCAACTGTTCAGTGAAGCTCTGAGTCCTGCAGAAACTGGGTTTAGAAAGGGAGGAATGCTGGGTGGACTGGTGGGTTGGACCAGCAGCAACCAGAGAAAGGAGAGCGTGGATTGAGTAGGAACCCTGAATCAAGGCCCTGCTGGAGAGAAGGGGTGGAAGGACTGAAGAAGGAGGTGGTAGAGATGGGTCTGAGGGCAAAGGAGCAGCTTGAGCTGTTAGGTGTTTGTAGCTTGGTTGGTGAAGGAGACCAGGAGATGCTCTGGGGTGGCCCTCAGAGGAGATGCAGGAGTCTGACCCACCAGTCCCCTAGGGAAGGTGCTCCCACCCATGCTGTGTGGAGGCCTTCATGACCCAGCTTCCCATCTGTTGTGGTTATGGAGGAAGGTGTGGAGCTGGCCAGCTCTTCACCGTGTGGGTGGGCTGGGTTTCCTGAGATGCTTCTCACAGCCCTTGGGCATGCATGTGGCTGGCTATTGGACCAATCACCTCCACTTCCATCCAGCTCCCCACACCACCCCCAGATAATTTCTCCAGCCCAGTTGAGGGGCTGGGACAAGATGGGCAATAAAGCACCTTGAACCAACATCGTTAACAAAAGAAATGGAGATAAAACCAGCAAGAAAATCAAAATATTCCTGTTGCTTTCTAGAAACACGCCCCGACTTTGAATCCAAATCCCAGGAAAGGTTGGAGCCTGACTCTCCAGCTCAGTGGGTCCCCATGCCATGCCATGGGCACAACTTCCCACCACTCCAGCACCGAGGTGGTGACTCCATCCACCTTCCTGCACCTACAACCGGGCAGATAACTCTGGGCAGGGTGGTGGAGCTGCAGACTCCTCTTTCTTTCCCCGTTGGGGTTGGTTTGGTGCAAACCCTCTTGCTTTCCGTGGGGCATGTGTGGCAGCGCGTGGGCACTGCTCCCAGCCAGCTTCTGGATGGCTTGTGATGGACACGACCTCTCCGCTTCCCTTTGCAGAGCTCTCACCCACTCAAGCCAGCGAAGGACCGACGAGCAGGACCCTCACAGCATCGGTGCAGGATGGGGAAAGTAAGCTGCTCAGCTGTCACTTGCAGTGTCCCCCACCCACCCACCTACTCACTGCCCCTCCATGAAGCACCCCAACTCTCCAGCAGAGCACTGGGGACCTCATCGTTGTGTTGGTCATGTCCAAACCCTGTCCCAAATGTTCACCAATGCTCCCAGCAGCCAGGCTGCCCTAAAGCATTGCCCCTTCCCCACAGTTTCTCGCTGGGTTTCTTTGCCATCATGGGCACTGCCAGATCCAGACTCGGTGGCATCGCTGTGCCATGGCATGTGGCAGTGACCTCCTGGGGAAAGCAATGTCCTTCTCACCATGTGCTGCCACCTTCCAGGTGACGGCAGCATCCGTTTGGTGAGCGGGACAGACACTTGCCAAGGCCGGGTGGAGATCTTCTACCGTGGGAACTGGGGCACCGTCTGTGACGACGACTGGGGTCTGAGCGATGCCAGCGTGGTGTGCAAGCAGGTGGGCTGTGGCCAAGCCCTGGATTACAAGAGCAATGCCTATTTTGGCTACGGCACGGGGCACATCCTCCTGGATAACGTCAACTGTGACGGCAGCGCCCCTTCCCCCCCCCCTTGCTACAGCCCCGGCTGGGCCATCCACAACTGTGGCCACCACGAGGATGCTGGGGTCATCTGCACAGGTACTAGGGTAGAGTATCACCTTGGGGGGTGGTAAATCCAAGGACATCCTGGTTCCTGAGGAGAAATGACCTCAGAGAGATGCTGACCTGCCCATGGTCAGGCAGGGACGTGGGCTCTGTATTGTGGAGCATCCATGATCCCAATCTGCTGTCACCCCGGAGCAGGCTGTGACACCGTGTCGGGAGCCTGAGACACGACCTGAGCAGCAATTTGGGAGGGAAATGAACCTGCCTAGCTGCCATTTCCCTGCTCTGCTGGCTGGAAAACAACCTGCCCGCGGCTGTCGGGAGGGAGCGCGTGGCCGCCCT